AGATTTTTCCTACAGTCACCCGACAAAGTTGGCTTCCTTGTACTGTTTATAGTACAGAAAGCTGCTAATTGCTGCATATTTATACTTTGCCGTACGGTTTATACTTTGCCGTACGGTTTATACTTTGCCGTACGGTTTATACTTTGCCGCACATCAGGATTCCAACGAAACAACACAAAACAGCGTGGTTCCATTATGCACGTAATCCGTGTACGCTTGGAAATAGGTTGGCAACACTTAAAGGTAATTATACTATGAGCAGCTGATTGACTATTATAACTACGATTTAACCTGTCATTTTCGTGTTTATAGTTTCGGTATTTCTGAACTTTCTGGACTTTTCTTTTAAACGTTTTTAAAACCTTCCTACGATCTTAATAAACAAGAAAATACATTTTAAGCATTTTTTTTTAGGCGCGGAAATCACTTCAAATTACAAAAACATATGGAACTATATTCTCAAAACGCAGAGCACATTTCTTACCGAGGAAAAATAGCGGAGTGATACGGACCGCGGGTACTACTTTCTCTAGGGCACCATTTGTGTTGCCAGCTGAACCTAAAAACGTGTTGTATAGTGTTTGAAAGACTAATTATTTATATGCTTTATAGTGACCGTAGGAAAAATATAATGTGTAACACGAGTGAAAAAGGCCTTTGCTGCACTCGAGATCATTCCGCACTCGCCTACGGCTCGTGCGTAACCATTGCTCTCGTGTGCAGCAAAGTGCCACTTTCACCACTAGTTACACAAATAACTATTTTGTGAAGATTGTTGTCCGTACCTGTGACCGTACCACGGAAAATGTGTTTAGTCCCTTGCTAACCAACTTATCCATAGCTTCTACTATAAATACTTCACTACAATGTCAAATGATTATATTTCAAACCTCAATTTTCAGCTTGTTTGCTTCTAAATGCTTTACCTTTTTGTGAAAATTCATTTATTTTTTGGTGAATGTCTAAATGAATACAAACATCATCGTTTTCTGCATATACAATATTATATTTCATCACTAGGGTCTTCACTAGAAAACTACAACCGCTCAAAGAAGTAAGTTGAATGTGAGATTTGATTCAGTCAATATTGATGACTCCCAAACGGAAAGTATCGGGAAAAGGAAATGGACGAGAAGGAGAGAATAAATACATCGTTGATTTATTTGAAACTTCTGACTTTTTTAGAGAAGGATATTAGAATAATATAATTCATTTGAAAATGTATCGCTTATACAAGAGCAGTAACAGCAGGCTTAGTTGAGCTAATTTGGGTTTTTAGAGTTGATTAAAATTCCGTATTTTTGAGTTGGTTCGGTCAGTAAACCTACAAGGGTTTAGTTAGGAAGTATAGTTTGTGGTTTGTCTGACAGGGCTTCTAGACTGGAGGCTCGGGCTCAAGTCCAGCCAATCGCCAACTTCTATGTATGGTTATGCCATAACTGGTGCTAGGACCAAATTAAGCTTAAAGCCCATCTATCTTGTATGGTAGAAAATAAACATACAACACATCCCCTATCTAGTAGTTTTTTCAACGTTTTATAAGGGTCGAGGTACCCTCTCTGTATTTAGGGAAAAATAACAAATATGCAATAAAATTCTTCCTTATGGTGTAATATACCTCCTTCAACATTATTCTTGGGGTCATTGCTGTAAAGTGCCAGATTTGTAAGAAATTGGATCATTTTCTTTAATAATTTGTCATATTACAGTTTTTATTAACACTTGCTATGTCCATAATATTTATAATATCGTATTTCATTACCTGAAAAACTGTTTTAACTATTTATACCAGTTCCTCTCAGTGGAGTATTGAACAAATACAGTTACAATTTCGATTCAGATATTCTGCCGCCAATCAATGTCCCACAATAGGCTCGTGCTGCTGAAATGTAGCTTCGTTGTGGGAAACCCTGCAGCGAACTTCTTGAGTTATCGAAATCTTCACGTCCTACAATACACAATCAGTATCCATAGCACTTCAATGTAATTGCTTTATTGTTGCCGTTGCCTAGCAACTATTTATTATTATTTTTGGTGATTCCTAAAATTTAGTTTCTTCACATAACCTTAAAGTTGTAGCTGTGTTGACTGTTAGTGTACATTATTATTGTGTTGAATAGTGGTAATAGGGTATAGTGTGGTGAAAAATAGCGTTCGTACTACGGACCGAAATGGTTTTGCAGCTCTCGATCGATTTAAAATTCTCGACTTCGTCTCGAACTTAAAAACTATCTCGAGCCGGCAAAACCTCATTTTCTTCCCTAGGTACGAAATATACTATTACGCTTTTACATAACATAGGGGTGGTAAGTGTAGTAATTTTGTTTAGGCCTATAAATAGGCCTAAATAAGAAGTACTCTGAAATATCACCACTAAACAAAAGCATAAATAAAAAGTTGTGAAATGGGATTGAAGGAAGAGTGTAAAATGGAGTAAGCCGCCTTTTATATTTTTTTACTGTTCAATAGTAGTTGGGCACAATTTTTTACATCAAAAAGCTGCTGACTTGCTTTTTGAATATTTCGTTTTCTAAAGAGCATTCTTAAAAAAGAATCAGCTATCTGATTAGAAGGTGTGTACTAAAACGTAACCATAGTTAGCTATATAGGTACTATAAGACGTATGATTGACTTAAATGTTACTCGGTGTTTTAGCGATGCTAGATGCATTTAAATTTGTATTTTTTTCTCCGTAACCATTACATGCATAACAATTCTTTGGTAGCTAATTAATTGGTTTTTTAAACTTCTAAGTCATTACTTGTGTGAATTTTATAATACATTATTGCCAATAACTATACTGTATATCATTGCAAATGGCATTGCCCTGGTATATGCGTACCTCATGGACATAAGTGACAATATTACACTTTCGAACCATCAAAAAGTTGAATGACTTTTCACTTTTATCGAAACGAAACCTGCCATCTGATTATCAGGCGAGCGCCTACAACCTCTCAGCTACCGAACTATAACTTAAAAAGTTTTAGGTAAATTAAGGACTATTAAATAACTAACGAGCTCTCGTTAAAGAGCTAATAAAATTGGGCAGCACTCAGCACAAATAGTAAAACACCTGTATTTTACAGCAACGTCAATGTAATCGTAATGACTACAGTACAGTCAACAAGGAAGCATATGTTTTCACAGTCAAACTGATTGTACTAAAAGCCACCTGGGACTACGCCCTCGCTCCATCATGTCCCTTTTTATTTCCCCCATTTCCCGTTCCTCCCCCACGTTTGCACCCCTGCGGTGGCGAGGGTTGCCCAGAGGGTGACAACAGTTGCCAACACTGATAACTATTGCCCAATAAGCTTCCGTCACCAGGCAAGTCTTGAGTGCGTTCCCAGGTTACCGCTCAAGTGTTTAAATAATGCGTGTATGGTTTGTCTCGATGTTGAAAATGCAAAGAAGAATCATGTAAAAAAACTTAGGTAACTTTTTTATATTATAAATTGTTTACACATGTAAATTTGTTCTTTAACTGTATGAATGAAACAACTGGTAACTTCCCCAGTGCATTGCAACATTCTTTATTAGCCTAAATTATGGGGAATGAGCTGGACTAGTGGTAGAGCGCGTGACTTCGGTCCTTGAATCCCATGTTAAAAATGTTTACATACTAAATGTTTACTTAATTTCATCTAAATGTTGATGCCACAACCCTCTAGGCCCAACCTGAAGTAATGTGTAAAGTGTTTCCCGGCTAGAGCCTACGCCTTAGGATATGAACGGGGAACGGGGGACATAAAAAATCACACTGACATATATTTGATGTTATAACTTCCAGAACCATCGCTGATATTTACAAGAAACCCCCCAAAAACAGATTTTTGGGGTAGAAAAATCAACTCCGGTACACGTTTCTTCGACGTTTAATACGAATCGAAATTCCCTGCATGGCGTTACGTAAAAGTTTGGTGAGAGATTTCACCAATAACATCAACAGAATTTCTAGCATTCTCCTGCTGCCCCGAATCCTATATTATTCATTGGGTTGGTAGGTTATTCTAGCTAAGGAAACAACTTGACTTAGCCATTAACAAATTCACTTACAAAAACCACAACATTTCATTCTATACCGCCACCTTCACTCTGGGTACACATTTCCATTCGCCATAAAATGTGCAACTGTTGGGGTTAGTAGTGATTAAACCCCACAAAAAATATCAGAATGATTACAGTGAAAAATTTACTTAAGCCTTCCGTTGTGGAATACCGTATTTATTTTTAAAACACACTGCCTTCATTGTAACCCTCATACTATTTCGTTTGGATTCGTTTGAATTTAGTGATTGTCTAGATGTTCATTATTTATAGAAAATTACTGTCAAAACCACCATATTATCAAGAAAAACTTATATTTTTAACTGCACAATACTTGAGCGGTTAGGTATGCTAAACTATCGATCAAAAGTGTGCCCCAAGTTCGCGTATAATGCGATTGCCTCGGGTTCTTTGATCCCCTAGTCTCTCCCCCCCCCCCCGCTACACCCAAACCCCAACGTTGCATCCTCAATTGGAGTTTAACTCAAGCATCCCAACTAAAGTCACTCTCCCGACTCTAGAATTTCCAATGAGTTTTCTAACCTGAGCTTAATTTAGTCAACCGTACATAATACCTTACTTTAATTAATTGTACCGAGTGTCCCACGAAGAGGTCCCTATCTGTGAATTAAAACCTACTTTTATTTAAAATATCTTCTAGAATAATTTCTTTGATATTCCGCCATTTTTCCTAATGTGTCAAAATTAACTGATACTCAGAGGTATTTCTTTGACATATGAGAATGTTTCAGATTGTTCAGGACTGTTGAGTTTCAGGTTTGTAGAGTGTTTGGTGCTATATTAATTAAAAAATAGGGATTACTTAGTGGGACACCCGGTATATTTTATGTGCTAAGGTGCAGTGGTTTGATAAAACTTATGAGTTTATATGAAAATATTGCTTGTTTCAAGTAAATAGATAACAAAAACAGTACATGATCTGTCCACAGGATGTGGTCAGCTGTAGCTACGAGTCCTGGAGCCGCAACGCCGCCCTCTCGGTCTAAACACTCCGCCACTCTCCTCGGCACCTACGTGTACCTCCTGGGCGGCAGGAACGGAAACTTGCCTCTCAAGGACCTGTGGAGGTACAGCCTAGGTAAGTGAAGCAATCCAAAGGTTAAATTTACAGTCAAACAGTTAATGCCACTAAGTTAGTTTTAGTAAATTATTGTTTGTTCTTGTTACTTTTTGAATGTTGATGACATTGTTGATGAACTGACAAAAATACTGGCCGATGTATTGGATGTGTTGTAGGAGTAGGCCTACTATGGGACAGTTGAATCATTTAAATTTGAAGTCTGCCTTGATAATGGATTGTTGCAGCAACGCATCCAGTATTTTCGTCAGTTCACCAACATGGTCATCGACCGCTTTTTCTTTGAAGAATCTGTTTTTTTAAACCATTTTAAAGGTATTCCCGTACAAGAAACAAATACTGCCAAACAGATTATTCCTATTGTTTTACTGTCACAGGAATAATCTGTGTGATGATACTAGAGAGATGAATAAGAAGGAAAAGGGGGCCATTCTTAGCTATCAGAAGATTTTAGTTATGGGCTTCAAATTTGAGTTAACAACCGCTTATCATAAGTTACATAGCCACAGTTTACTGTGACTGCCTCTTCATACTTATATTGTGTTTATACCTGAGGCATCTGTTTACGTTTTTTGTGAGTAAACAGACCAAACCATGATCTTGTTACTGTCTACCGTGTAACACATCTCTTTACTTGTTACAGAAGAGGGACGATGGGAGCTTCTCAAGCCAGGAGGTGACTCCCCACCTTGTCTGCAGGAACACTCCGCTGTAGCCTACAGAGAATGTCTCTACGTCTTTGGTGGCGAGTTGGGGTTCTCTGCTGGCAATGAGACACCTCTCTGGATCTACAACATCAAGGTACAACTTTTCTCCACCTAGTGAATGTAGTGTCGTTTATACTCGTCTTCAATATGTTTTCAAGTAAAAAACTACCATGAAACTATATTGGGATTCCTTGTAAGATGATACTTGACAATTTTACCATAAAATAACGGAAGATTCAACTTGCTCTATACTTTTTGCGGTGTATTCCTGTAGTTCCTAGTTTGAGCAGATGACCTCAGCAAAACAGCACCATCAAACTTGGTTTCCATCCTCATTCATCTCCCTCCACTCCACCCCTTTCCTTCTTCTCTTATTTCCTTTCAATTGTCCTTCTCCAGGTTGGCTTAAGATTTCTCTTCGTTGTCCTTGAAGGTTAGAACCTTCAGGACCCTGATCAGAATCCAGGACCGGTAATTTTATGGCATCTTGCTCTTTTCGTTGGGCATGAGCTATCCACTGCCTTATTAATATTTTTTGTGTTATTTGCTATATGCTTTGCACTAAGCAGGGATCCATTGCTCCTGGTGATTTGAGAAAACATCTCAAATCCTTAAAATGTCATAATTTTAACCTCGTCAGCTATCTCTCTTATTTTCCACATTGGATAATGTTCTATTAATACAGCATTCAAACATGACCAAATAATTGATTTGGTGCAGCAAAAATGTAAACTACTATTTGTACCAGTTTTTATCTTCAATTACAAAAAAATAAAAAAATATACTACTGTATATTGAATTTAGCAGCTTGCATGTTTCGTCCAAGTTTTTATTCTAGTCTCTCATACATTTCATATTACTGTAATTCCTCAAGAAATGCACTATAAGCGAGGCCAGATAAACGACTGGCGTTCCTCAGCAAAGTTTGCATGTCACAGGAAACCAAGAGTCGTTTATCATCAAAAGCAAGTTGACTAAAGAAACGTTGCCGCAAACAATACTTAAGCTACGCCCACAATTAAACTGAAAGCCTTTTCAATTTCCTGACTGTTAGGGATTTTTTCTCTTAGAAGATCACCTTTTCTTAAATTATTATAGAAGAATTTTCATTAAAATATCACCTAAACTAAACCACTATCATACGCTCCTTTTGTACCTTTACTATCACAAATATACCCTACCATACAACTTTAAAAAAATAATTGAAAAAAAGATTTAAGTAAATAACTAATATTAATTTTGTGAAGTTAATCCCCAATGATTGCATGCAACAGAATAACACTTTTGCTATGCCACTTCTAGCTCTATCATAAGCAATGAATTTTCAATGTAATTTTTTATTAACACAGCGGAGATTTGTCAAGGCAATTATTTTTCTATAGTTATGAGCTAATTTCACTATAGAACAATTTGTTTGTAGTATTTATTGTTCTGTTTAAAGTAAACAAATTTTAAGGTATTTATGATGAATAAGTAAATATTTCAACAAGGTATATAATCCCAAATCCACCACCCCGAAATAACATTTTCACTACACTACGGTGTTTTTAGCCGCTTTGTTATTGGAGGCCGAAAGCTACGTATTGCTGTCAATGCCAGCTGCCATAGTTATTTGGGAGTCGAAGAGGTTTTTACATCCCCAGGGCCGAAAATCAGCTGTTCACTTACTTAAAACATTAATGCATATTAATACACAATCAGTATCCATAGCATTGCAATAGACTTGTTTCATTGTCACCGCTTCCTAAAAACACGACCAAAAATATGTAATGTACTGTACAGACTTCTCTATTATTCACACCACGCTGTAAATAAAACATGTGATTGGAATTTATTTATTTGTTTTGGTTTTCGGTTTATATTTCGTTGTTAGTTCGTTACCAGCATGGAAACCCAAAAGGCCCTTATTCATTTTTTTCAAATTTAAATTAATTTGTTGTGCTTATTTAGAGCCTATTTTAGTTTATGAAGGGATTCTGCACATCTATATGAAAATATCTTTCTAACAGTACCTATGCGTGGATTTTCCCAGCGATGCACAAAAAAAGTTTTAAAGAAACATGCTTGCCTATTAATACATAGATTTTTGCTGATTCCTCAAATAATTTCTTCACATAACCTTAAAGTTGTAGTTGTGTTGACTGTTAGTGTGCATTATTATTGTGGTGAATAGTGGTAATAGTGTGGTGAAAAATAGCGTTCATACCACGGACCGAAATGCTTTTGCTTTTGAGTTTTAAAAAACTCAAGCGGGCAAAACCTAATTTTCGGCCTTAGGTACGAAATATACTATTTTGTTTATGATTACAAGTATTAATCATGAAACAATCAAACAAAACATGTTTACAGGCAGTCATAAAATCCATCTAATACCACCCGGATGATATTAAGAGTTAGAGCTGAAAATAAAAGGTGAACTCGTAACAAAGAGTGTTAGTAATATCAAGTTTTGCACAGGAGGTAACAGCAAAACCCCTGATATAAAACACCAACTGTCAGGTAGAACAATTAAGTAAGAGACAGGGATGGTAAGGGGGTTGGAGGAGACTGAGACAGACAGAACAGACATTTATTTCTTTTACTCACGAAAGCCACAAACTCGAGATTTAACACCAACTTTGCAAAATTACATAACACTAGTTATGATCATAATTTTTTTTATTAGCTGTATATTTTAGTAATGCTTTTTAAAATTATATTCGTTTTTATCATATTTAGATATGCTGACAGGCCCTTATATCTCATTACATGCTTACAGCAGAAAGCAATTGAAAAAATTAGGGGCGGCAAATAAAGGTATTTGTAACATCAGAAGAAAATAGTAGCCTATTAAAAGGGAAAACATGTGCCAGAAGAGGTTAAAACATCTACAAGCCCAAAAAAGATAAATTGATCTCTGGATTTTTTTATCTACAAATTGTGCTGTTTTAGCGAATTTTCCTATAGGGAAGTAGCTACCGTAGGTCTCATGGTAAGACCTACTAGTAGGCCCGGGACTGATTTACTTTTTCATTTTGATGTCCCCAGAGGCATCAAATTTGCATTTTGCTTGAATACAAAATTTTAATGTGTGACTTCCTTCATTTCTGTTTTAGATCATGTTTGTTGTATTGGAAAACATTACTTGGCTAACAAATATCATGATACCTATAAGAAAAGGTGGCCTATAACCTCAATGTTCAATGTAGCTTTAAAATGAGATGTTTATGCCGTATTATGATTCAACCATTAAAATTGTCACTATGTGCAGAAAATCCAAGATGAACGGTGGTCCTGCCGGCTCTTAAGCTTAAAATAAAGACTGTAATTATGGTGCAGGCACTGTGTATTAGGTGTACACAAACAACACGTCTTTATTTAATGTATTTGACGATATGATAATATTTACAGCATTTTTAACAGCCCCAATAACTAATCATATTAATGGAGAGCAGTTGTAAGATTAGTATGACCTGGCACACTGTTTAATTCCACTCCAGATTAACCTGGGGTTGATATTTGACCTTGAGAGTAGTTCAGGCCACAAAGCCCTGCAAGTTGGCCACTCACTTTTAAGGCATCACTGTTGCCGCTCTTATAATTAGGTTTGAATACTTTGAATGTATACATGTGACCCTAAAAACTTTAGAAGTTCTGAAGTTCTGTGTAGTTTACCAATGCTTCAATGTAAATTAATGAATTTTACCAGCTCAAATGATTTAAGATGTCTAGTGGTATTGTAAACAATAAAGATGTTTGCAATTCACTCCCCTCCCCAGATAAAAATCTGTTTATGGCCTCTATATAAGCTACATATGCATACATAAAAATAAGGCTTTTATAATGATTAAATGTTATATAAAAAATAAATGCAATAGTTCAACTAAATCTGTATGTAAATTGTATCTTCACACCTTAAATCAAATTAAACACATTATTTGAATGCATATAATTATGTACTTTGCATAAAACACTAAAACAAAACCAAAACATGAATGTAGGCCTACAGTTGTAAAAAACTCTAATGCTTACATATGTAATTTATAGATTCAAACTAAAACTAGATTAAACTAGGATAAAAATATGCCACAAAGATCAGTGAAGGTAAGACACAACAGTGTATGTGACTGCAGCAGTGTGTAAAGTAACCAGGTCAACAACTTTGTCTGCCAAAGCTGAAGAGCTTGAGATAGGATCTGATGGCTTGACTCAGCTAATCCTTCAGCTTGGCAAGTTTGCTGACTTGTGATAGCGCTCACTTGATACTTTTTTAAACACAAATATTGCATTAATTTGTCATTATCAGATAGCTTGATTAAGTTAAATTAAAATGCAATAAGAAAATAAACTGTCCTGGGGGAGAAACGTAAAGCACAAACTGTTGCTCAAACAAAAGGAAAAATACACCTGTCACTCAAAACTAAAAAAGGTTATCAGTAAAAACATGTTGCCCTGAACAAAAATTTCATAAATGAATCTGTTACTGAAAGAATTGTGTTTGAAATAAATGTATTGCTTGAAATCAACGACAAATATACTTTTTTTCTCAATGAAGCAAAACAATAAACGTATGTATTATTAGATACTTTTTTAACAACTTGTATTCTTGCTTAAAAAGTTATGTTCAATTTTATAACTTGCAATCTGCTGATTTATTACAATACATAAATTAGATAGATTAATACGTGCTCGTCCACACCACTGTATTGCCTGGACTAGTAGACTGTATTTTTGTAACCTACAATATAGGTGGTAAAAGCTTTAATTATACCAAAAAAGTAAAGATAGTCCTACTAAAATGAATAAATTTCACTTTCAAAATTAATAAATTATTCATATGTTTTTTTCAGTCTTACTTTTATGTGATATAAAAATATGATGACAAATAAAATAGTATATTTCGTACCTAGGGCCGAAAATGAGGTTTTGCCGGCTCGAGGTAGTTTTTAAGTTCGAGACGAAGTCGAGAACTTAAATCGATCGAGAGCTGCAAAACCATTTCGGTCCGTGGTACGAACGCTATTTTTCACCACACTATACCCTATTACCACTATTCACCACTATAATAATGCACACTCATAGTCAACACAACTACAACTTTAAGGTTATGTGAAG